TTTAGTTTCAACCTCCATCTAAAATGCTGCTGCCCTCTTTAACACTAATGCATCTGATCTAGCCAATCAGTGACTTCTGATGAAGTTAATTAGCTGGAGCAGGTTTGGTTGACTGTACTTGGAACTTTTTCCAGGAACATGGATCTCCTGGACCAGGGTTGGTGACCACAGACTTACCATAATAGTAAATACAATCATATGCAATGCAGTCATGGTCTAATGATGTTTCGTCGATTTTCTAAGTAAAAATAAGTAACACATCCTCTACAGAGAACACGCTCCTGCACAATTGCTGTTTATTTGCTGAATTTAACATACTGGAAAAAAAAAAACATAAAATGTGAACTGTGCAGTTATGGCTCATAACTTTTGTTTTTTTTATTTTCTTTGAATATTTACTCAGCAAATAAATTGAAGTTGTGTTCTGAAATTTGTTCACTTTTCACTTTAAAAAATCAACAAATCGTTTTATTAGGGGTATTCATACTTTTGCATACAACTGTATGCCTCCCATCATTAAACAGCAGTAAAACTTGGTCTCTTAAATAGTTAATTCTTTAATGACACCAGTGACTGCTTTTCAGTTCATCTCAGTCTTGATGATTGAGTACGTGGCAAATGGAAGCCATTAAAGTGGCTCCATGGTAATAGCCTTCAAAAAGCTCTGTTATAGATTTCTATTGAACCAGCTTGGTGAAAATCTCTCACTAAAAATAGAAATAAAGTGTTGATGCAAAAGCATAAAAACTAACTTATACATTTTACCAAAATGATTTTCTATTCTCTTTATTGGGGCATTCTCCTTACTTGGATATCTCCTTATTTAAAACCATAACCCTCCACATCCAGAGCTCCCCTCAGGCATTTACAGCCTGCTGCCAGCCTTCCAAATGCACTAGTAGTTCAGCCTTCTCACTGTAGGGGGTAATGTTGGACCATTTTTATTTATTCTGTACCATGACCTTTGTATGTCACTGTTGGGAAACATTAGTTATTCACAATACTAATACAACCAGACATGCATCTGTGCGCCATTTGCATGCCTCACCCAGAACAGGGGATAACCGTTGGCCTTCAGGGTTTCCTCTGAGTAGTCTAAAGGAAACTTCACGTCTTTCTTGGTTCTGTTCTATGTGTTCTTCACCATGCCTAAAGGCTATCTTGTCCAGGTTTTCCTTCTTGTTGAATCTAACAGGCCATTTGTTTAAAGGTTAATGAAGAACTCCCTTTTGTGAACTGTACAATTACTTGATGTTAAAAAAAAAGCTAATGCACAATTTTACCATAATTTCAAGGAAAATGGAAAAAAGAATGCTTTTGTAAATTGAGCTTAAGAGGGCACTCATGGCAAACAAGGAAACAATGCCCTCACTTCACATATTTTAAAAGATGCAACATTAATTGCTGTATTGTTGTTATATTAATAGATACCACACATACATCTATAAATATACGTCACATGGTGATGCCATGACTAAAAACTGAATAATTAGTACTGAGAATCAATTAGTAGGATGTCATTTGCATAATGGACTAATCAATTAGCACAATCTCATTTTCATAATGAACTTTGGTCATTTGCTCATGCAAATGCAAATATATTGTCCACTGGGACCAGACAGCTCCTTTTAAAGGGAAATGGGATTTCAGCCTGTCATTAAATTATCAGCTCTTAATCCAGTGTGGATGAAAGGCAATAAATACTCGTTAAAGCCCTGGGCAAGATATTTTGGGTTCCTTACCATTCTTTTTTTGAGCTGGTTGCTGTAGACTTGGCATTTTTTACTTTTTGTCTTGCCTTATTAATGGTGGCACCACTTTCTGTTGCATTTTAATATGGTCTTTATTTATCACCAGGTCCTGAAATTAAAAGCCATGAAAATAATTTGTACTTATTTTTAATGTGTAGGGCATACAAAAAAAACCCTAAATGCTAGGCCACCAGGTCTTTTTTTTTCCATTTAACCCCTAGGGGTCTGTATGTGGGTCCACATTTCAGTTCCTCACCCTCATAACCATATAATTTTCATACTATTCATGGGTCACTGCATTTCATAGTAGTTTCAGAACAGTCTATAGTAGTTACTGAATAACAAGTCTTAAACATTAGAATTGTCAACATATATCAGAAATCATAGCTCATCTTTTTTCCATACTGTGATGTACACTAATCAGCCATAACATTAAAACTACCTCCCTATTTCTACCCTCCTTGTGCATTTTTAGCTCCACTTACTATATAGGTGCACTTTGTAATTCTACAGTTACAGACTGTAGTCCATCTGTTTCTCTGCGTACTTGTTAGCCCCCTTTCAACCTGTTCTTTAATGGTCAGGACCCCCACAGGACCACCACAGAGCAGGTATTATTTGGGTGGTGGATCATTCTCAGCACTGCAGTGACACTGACGTGGTGGTGGCATGTAAGTGTTTGTTGCGCTGGTCTGAGTGGATCAGACACAGCAGTGCTGCTGGAGTTTACCTCAGTGTCACTGCTGGACTGAGAACCAACCAAAAATATCCAGCCAACACCCTCCGGTGGGCAGAAACTGACCACCAATGAAGGACTAGAGGATGACCAACACAAACTGTGCAGCAGCAGATTAGCTATTGTCTCTGACTTTACACCTACAAGGCTGACCAACTAGGAGTGTCCAATAGAGTGGACAGTGAGTGGACTTAAAAACTCCAGCAGCACTGCTGTGTCTCATCCGCTCATACCAGCACAACACACACTAACCCATCACCACATCAGTGTCAGAGCGGTGCTGAAAATAATCCACCACCCAAATAAAACCTGCTCTGTGGGGGTCCTGACCATTAACGAAGAGGATAATAGGTGGCTGCCAATGTATGCAGAGAAACGGACTACAGTCTGTAATTGTAGAACTACAAAGTGCACCTATATGGTAAATGCAGCTGATAAAATGGACAATGAGTGAAGAAACATGGAGGTGGTTTTACAGATGCAATATGTAAGATTTAGGGTGATTTATTATCAGAAATGGAATATAGTATACAAAACCATGTTTTTATTAGTGTATAATCACCTCTAACTACAAATGATTGTGTTTTTGTTAGCTTCAAATGAGCCCTTCATACCTACATAGGGAGCAGCTTCTCTTCTAACAGAGGCTGCTATGTTGCGCTGCCATATTTCAACAGTAGCCCAGAATGGACAAACCAAACACTGGCTCTAAAGAGTGCCTTTTGTGTTTTTACTTTGAAGCAGCAGCTTGAACTTAGTGGCACTGTGGCACTGGTTGGAAGACACAGAAAGAATAAAAATCTGTGGTTGCTGCTGAGGCTGGCTAACCATTTTGTGTTTTGAGAAGTTTGAGAACCCACATTTTGACAAAAGGAGAATCATACTCATTATTCAGCACAAGAAAAGGCATTAAACCCTGAATCCTCATTCTCAAATAAGCAAAAACATGAAAAAGCAAAACGAAACCGAGAGTGGCGATGGCAGAAAACCTGATGGCCACCGTAGATTCTACTACATGCTTGGAAAGGGAGGGGTGAGGAAGAAATATTCAGTTGGTAGCAATCTGCACCTCACCGCTAGATGCCACTAAATCTTACACCCTGTGCCTTTAATTTTAGGGCTGATCTGTGCATTTCTGAATGAAACATGATATCAGCAGTGGTAAACCATGACTATTAGAGCTAGACCTTCAATTTGAGCCATAAATGTCAAAATTCAGTCAAAATAAGTGGAAAAAACCCTCTTTAATAATGCTTATTTCTGCTAGCGCTCTTATGGTAGTTTGTTAGCACTAAGCTAACAATGATTTGCATGAACATTTTTTGGTCATTCTAGTTTAAACACAGACACCTGAAGCTTCTAAGAGACGTTTTATGTTTTACCTGAAGCTTGTGACAGATTTATTAGCATTTATTTTACATTGTCTCATGTTCAGTAAAGGCGTCTATTTGAGCTGCTGTTGATGTTTTTCATTTATAACAATCCACTGATTAGGGCTGCTCATTTTCACAGTCATGTGACATTTTTTCTCACTAAATTGGTCCCATTTATTGGAAACCAAGCATGATTTAATGCCCTAACCTATAAGAGCTCGCTTAGCTATATCTACCAAGTTACCCAAAGAAAAACAATTTCTGATTGGCCATTTCCACTAGATGTTTCAAGAATTTAAACCTTTTGTTTCCATTCAAAACAAGAGTCAGTAATACTGGGTTCATTTATAAGCATAATTCTACTGGAAAAATGAATTAAGAATGACGGACATGAACTGGCCTTCCCTAGAAGACCTTGGCCATCAGGGAGGGTCTCTGAGCTAGAGAGTGTTATCTCTTAATGATAGGATGGTCGTTTGGAAGGGGAGGTGAAACGTGATATTATTGAGGAACATTATTTTCCCCTACTGCTGGTGCAAAAATCTGAATATATTTTAGAGGCGGGCAAAAGTCATTACACTTAGATCAGACTATGGGAAAACATTAATTTTGTCTTTTACATAGTATTATATGACATTATCTGCAACTAACAATGCATGAAAAATTTCCATTTTGATTTCAGGTTGATTTTAAGGAAGTGTTAAGTTTGCATGCCCTTATGGTGAATATGCATGGTATGGAGCTTGTAAGCAGCACAGTAAATATGGATGGCGTTCTCATTATCCTTTGTGGACTTTATACTTGCGCACATGCAAATGTATTACGCTCACTGGTACATGCATTCTCTCTTTCTCTCTCTCTCTCTCTGTGCCTGACAATCTGTATATGAATGAGGCCCCACATCACTGCAGCACCTACAGTATTGTTTTTTCTGCATGACTGCGCTCTGGTAATAGGAATTAAATTAATCCATCCTTTTCAGATATTTCAGCACCACTGCACAGTACATACCAGCTAAGAAAACACTGGAGAACAGGGCCCTCCAGTACACAAGCGGACCCCTTCTCCTAAAACCAGAGTGAAATTTCACATGTGGCTGCTTCAATATACCCAAAGAGGGGGAAACACTGGAACATGGTCTAATCCAGCTGTCAGTGGAACTGGGCTGGTAGATTGCACTCTGCTTTCTCTTATCATCGCCTTCATCGTTTGTTGTGCCAACAACTTCCACCTGTGATGAACTTTGTTCTGACCTCATTTAAAACGAGTCAAGAAGTGTGACAAAGCAACATGTGCTTGGCCGTGGATCTCAGGAGCTGAACTGTGTGGGAAAACTTCACCTTCGGTTGTGTTTGGTAGTTTATATATGATTTTGACTGACTCATTTAGGCCTCTTCGCTCCTATTCGTCTCAGACTCGGCTGATTCTGAAGAGCAGTAATGAGTGAAGTGCACTGAGGGAAAAACCTCAGCTGTAGTGAAGTTGTTAGTTGCTCCGTCGCGTGAGGCAATGATGTCAGCTCGCGCGTGGGATCGCGCGTGGCCGATGCTAATGCTAATAGCGCTGGCGCGGCGGGCTGAGGCCGGGCCCGAGGCGGAGGGCTGCCTGGCCGCGGGACTCTGCTGCAGCGGCCGGGAGAGCTCCTGCCTCAGCCGCGGCTGGAGGACGGACCGCGCTCACGGGGAGTGTTACTGCGACCAGGCGTGCAGGACTCTGCTGGACTGTTGCTACGACTACGACCAGGCGTGTCCAGGTGAGAAGAGGCTGGAAGCTTTTTTACACGTGGTCTGTACACTGAAGCTTTAAGAATAGCGTGATGTGAAAGAGATTTTGAACTTTGAACTCTGCATGAATTCATTTAGAGAGTTTTGATGGAAAATTGTGCGCTGTGGAGAATCTTTCTTTCTTTACAGTGGTGGTGATGAGAACCACGGGTTGCAATGTCTACAATGCAAATACAGCCATTTTATTTACGTCCCAAATGACCAGTGCACCTACATGTGCCTTTTAAGTTTTTAGATGTAATGCTGATAATGTTATAGTATTAAAACAAAACAGAAATTGTTGGTAAAAAAATGATTTAGAAATATGTTTTAGACCAAAATCTCATCTCACATTATTATAAATAACGTATCAGGCAGTGTATTTGTTATCATTTCATGGAATAAATTTCTGCGAGAAAGTTTTTAGAGGCATAAATCTTAGATGCCTGGTTATTATCACCACTATTATGAACAATTCTAAGCCCCTAGAAACGAGCCTTTCACATCAAAACACTAAACGACTTTGAATGTTAATGCTGACTCTATAAATTGGTTCTTAACTGTTGAAGTATGCAGAAATTTTGAAAAATTGGTGGAATATGGTAAGACCTGTACAATGTGGTATTACCTCTTCATTTGTGTCCAGCTGGACTTCTGTGCACACTCAGGTGTTCATTCCACAGCGAGTCCATATGTCTACCAACAAGAACTTTTTATTTCGTCTTTTTTCAAAAAGCTAAATAAGAAAGTCAGTTTCCTGAAGTCATCTTAGCACAAAGATGTATTGAATGATAGAGTGAGCATCACAGTAAACACTCTCTCACTCTCTCATTTAAGATGATCTTAACACTTAGACGCTTTTGGGAAACTGTGCCTGGATACGTAATTGAGAAGAAGTTAATAAAAACTATGACAAATGTTTTTTTTTAGTTTTGGAAATGTATTGTTATTTTTATTATTATTATTATTATTTGTGTAGAAGTTTTTTAGTAGTTACTAGATAATAAGCCTTAAGATCATTTTCTGAAAGCCTAAAATTTAAAAGCTTAAAAAGAAAAAAAGACAAATAATATACTATATAATATGCTAAGCCATCTCAGAACACCATGTGGGCTGCTCTAAAAGAGAGCAAGAATGATGCGAATTCTCCAGTCCTGCAGAAACTTCAACTGCAGAAAATTATTCAAGCTGTGATTAGGGTGAATGGTGGATTTACCAAATACTGAGTTTTGTCTTTCAGTAAATGACAGTGAACAATGACGTAATCTTGTTTAAGAAATTTAATATGACAAAACAAATTGTATTATTTTTTCATAAGCGATGAAATAAAAACAGTTCCTGGTAGTGGACTGCGCCTTTTGGACCTTATTGGAAGAGTCAATCCAATAATGTGGATTGTGCTGTGCGGAGCAGACCCTCGCCTAGATTTAGAATTATGATTGAGGGTCTTTTTTTTTGTGATCAACTTTTTATTGCATTTTACCTCATGTTTTACAACGAGGGTGGGGAGAGGTAAGGGGGAGGGGAAGGCAAGACAGTGTCATACATTTTAGAAATACACACAAATCAAAAATAAAGCAAAGACAATATATAAAGAACTACACAACTAAACAACATTACATAATATAATTGAAAACTAAAGTTCTCGAATAGAGTCATATAAATTCTCCCAGTTTCTTATTGTCTTCTGTTTTGCCTTGTTAAGCTTAGCTGTAAGATGTTCCATCCAAACTATATTTTGAAAACTACAAATCCAGAATTTCATAGCTGAAAGCTGTGGGGCAATCCAAAGTTGCAAGACAGTCTTCTTGTTAGATGTAATACCTGCCATCAACAACCTTCGTTGAATCGAAGAAAACTGAAGAGCCGAGTCGTCATTTAAAAGACATTAATGTGGCGACAGTGGAACACTGAGATCAAGTACTTTAGATAATATATGTACTGTAGAGGTCCATATATCTGCTACTTTAGAACATTCCCAGAGCATATGCATACATGTACCAGGTGCAGAGTTACAAATATTGCAGGTATAACTAGAAATACATTTCATTTGATATCTCCTGTAAGGTGTTGCATATGCCCTGTGAATTATTTTGTAGTGAATAAGCTTTTAGAAGAGTGACTTAAATTAGCCCATATAGTGTTCCAATCCAAAGAGGGACCAGCACTGGCAAGCTCTCGTTCCCACAGTTGTTTGACTGCCAACTGCTTTATATGATGGTCTACCAACATTTTGTAAATAAACGATATGATGAGGGTCTTGATAAAGTCTTGACTGTTATGCTTTCTGAATAGCCCTGCACAAAAACGTCAGTATTGGTATTGCACTTCTTCTTCTAAGTGTTAATCACTTTTTCCCTCTTTCAGGTGACCTACCACAGTTTAATATAAAATATGTTTGTATATTTTTTTAAACACACAAGGTTTCTTTGCCTCTTGCCTTACATTTTATTTTGTATTTTCAGATATTTAATGCATTTTACAGTAGACTTCTTCTGGACATATAGATTAGATCAGTTTATCTGTCTTTCATATTGTGTCTACGTTGCTGGGAACAGTGCAGTGTCTTATTGCCAATTCAACCGTGTAATAATGGAAAGCTCAATAAATCAAATATGATGAGTGTGCACTTGCCAAGCACTCCTTTGCATATAAGCTCTCCTGGTGCTCTCTCAATATGTCTGAGAGGGCATTCCGTTTTACTCCCTCCTTTTCAAAACTGTTTTTAACATGTGACTTGCTCATCATTTTCCCAATGCCTTCCTTACAACAGCTGAAATACTGTATTAGCTCAAGTGAAGTTTGTTAGATGACCTCTTAGAAGGATAAGAGGTCGAGTCAACATAAATGTAGATTTTAGACATAGAACCTGCTCAGAAATGATTGAGATCTGATGCAATTTCCTTCAAACCTGAAAATGGCAGCTATAGCTGTTTTTAAGCCAAAGCAAGAAATAAATAAATAAATAATAATAATAATAATAATAATGATAATAATAAAAAAATCAGTTTCCCAAAGACATCTTAGCACAATGATGTACTGAATGGCAGAGTGGGCATCACAGTAAACGCTCTCTCTACCAGTTAAGATAAAAAAAAAATGCAATTGCTTAACATTAGAACTCTAACACTAAAATAGCTAAATTGAAACTGGGCTTTTACGTAATAAACTACAATTAGTAATTAGTAAGACAGTTGGCAAGCTAAAGGCATAGCATACCCTGATATAAGGTAAAGCAGTTATTCATATACGTTACACTTGGGCATCTTGAAAAAATGGTTGGCATTACCAAATTTATTTAGCTTGCTAATTATCTCACAGAAGCCAGTTGTGTAACAGAGGCCCCAGAGATGGGCAGTTGTCTCAGACTCACCCTTGACTAACTCATAATTTGACTCTAACTTGCCCTTAACTGACTTCATAGCTTGACTCTAGAGAAAAATACTTGTGACATTTTAACTTGAGAAACAAAAACACGTGCCAAACCTTTAAACCTGTAGTTTCTGGCGTTATGAGTGCACCTTGTCAATGTTGAAAACAGCATGCATAGTTACTGTGATGTCATTCTGTTGCAGCTGTTCGGCTGAGTGGCTTCAAATAATGAGACTTTTATTATAACCTTTTATCAGAAAAACCTTCAGTCTGATGGATGTTATCGCAGTCACTCACGCTTCAGAGTCTCGAAACTTGACTCTGACTCGCATCTTAGAGAATTGATACTTGACTGATTCACACCTTAGAGACTCGACATTTGACTCTGACTCACACCTCAGCGATTTGAAACTTGACACTGACTCGCATGTTAGAGACTCAAAACTTGACTGTGACTTGCATCTCAGAGGCTCAAAACCTGACTCTGATTCGCACCTCAGAGGCTTGAAAATTGACTCTAACTCACTTCTCAGAGACTCAAAACAGGACTCTGATTTGCACCTCAGAGAATCGAAACTTAAATTTGGCTCACATAAAGTGACTTGTGAACATCTGTGATGCAAAAATAAAAAACATTTTTGAAGTGGAGATCCATTAACCTGCTGCTGTGCTTCTCCAGAATCCCTGTCCTGAATGCAAGCTTTGACTTGTTTTTTGTTTGTGTCTGTATCAGCTGTACCTTGTGTGGTCAGTGAGTGGAGTGTGTGGTCAGGCTGCTCGGAGCCCTGCAAGGCAACAGTGCGTGTGCGGCAAAGACGGGTGCTGCAGGAGCCTCAGAATGGAGGAAAGCCATGTCCTCCTCTCCAGCAGACAGCTGGGTGCGCGGAGTATCATGACCAGCATGGACATTGCCTCCAGTCTCTGGGTAAGCCAGGTCACAACTAGAGACCATATGTTCTTTAAGTCAACAGCTTTATATTTCTGACCATTAGCCATGACCTCTCTGTTTCTGTCTTCCCCAATCTATAGTCCCTGCACTCATAACCACTGGTGGCTATGGCAACGCTCGCAAGAAGAGGGAGGTCTCTGACAGGAACGATGTCATAGGGTGTGACTTCAGTGTCCCACAGATTTTGTAGTCATCCTGTTTAGTAGTGAAGCAGCTTATAGACTTGGCTTCTAACTCAGTTTAGCATGCTACAGGGGGAAGTGCACCTAATTCTTGAGTAGCTTTTGTCTGCATCAGGTTTTTTTATTAAAAGAAACAGCAATTATCAATAATATTTTACAAAAGCTGCCAAAACGTGTTTCCCTTTCAGCTGCAAAAAAACTATAATGTAACTGATTTTTACAGAAAAAAATGTGATTCATTTTTTAAATTTAGTGTCACATGACCAGATGTTCATCACATGCCTCTCCTACAAAAATGGCAAAAAACAGCAAAAGCAGGATCTCTCCTCATTTGGATCTTTGGAATATGTTGCTAACTGCGGCAATTATCTGATTACTTATAACAATTTGCATAATATTGAAAAGATTCTTTGTGTAATTCTGTCTATATATATATATAATATATATATATAGTCACTCTTACCAACAGGTTATGTTAAAATCAGGGAGGCCAAACAAACAAAAAAGTGTACATAATTTACAAAATACGTTTGAATGCGAAGAACACCCTCAGTCAATTTACATTAAAAATTTTATTGATTTTCTAAGTGAAAATAAGTTAGCACCTCCTCTACAGAGAACAAACATAATATGGCATTTTCTGGAAATTTTAGGGCACAGTTTCTATTTATTTGCTAAATTTAACATGAAAGAAAAATAAACATGCAATATAAAAAATGCCATAATCTTTGCACTGTCCAGTTTCATAGCAAAGCGAAAGTGTTTTGGGTTGGTAAGTTTTTTTTGCACGTATTATGCAAATAATTTGTATCGCTGAATAAATTTTTTTTTTTGTATTTATAATTTTTGCATTACTGTAAGTCAGTTTGATGGATATGAGCTGTAGCTCATAGCAAAATCTGCAAGAAATTATTAAATCAATTTGATTTTCATGCTTGCAAAGTGCCCATAAGTCAATGGAAACTTTTGAAAGGGAGGAAACTGGCACAAATCTACACCAGCAGCATGTCACAAATGCCATATGCTTGCAATCCCAGTTTGCTTGTGTATGAAGTAAAAGGCTTAAAACTATAAACGAAATGGGCTACGGAAGAGTGGTCCTATCTTTGTGTATTCAACCTTTTTCTTTTTTTTCAAGTCTCAACATACCATGTAATGTACATATGTGTTATGCGCAGCTACTGTGTGGAGTTTGAGCTCACCTCACTAACCTCAGCTTGCCAGCACAACATCGGCCCTCACACCCAGTGGATGCAGTATCTGCGAGAGGGACACCAGGTGTGTGTGGAGTGCCAGCCTCCAGCCCTAGCAGCTGGCCAGAAGCACTGCTCTGGAGATGGAGAGGATGTTGAGCAGGACAGGTCAGGTTCCTCTCCTCCTTGGAACCACGTGTCACATTATTAATTGTTGTTATTTTGTTTAATAATAACTTATACATTATAATTTAAGTAATAATTATAATATCATATTCTGCAGTGATGCATTTATAGATTTTTACAGCTTTCTCTATGATTAAGGAATAATCTGCACTATATTCATCATCATGTGGACGCATCCAAAAACCTTCCTACAAACTATGTAAAAACTGAAGTTAGAACCAGTTTATACCTCCAACAAAATTGATTGTATATTATTGAGAACAATGATTCCAAACTTTTGAACAGTGACAGTAGTTTAGTTTTTGCCAGAGCTGGTCCATCCAAAGGACCAGTGCCGAATGCTCCACTAGAGGGCACAGTGAGACCGTTTCCTCAGATGGAGGCCACTTACTGTACTATACACTTCATGCTTACGATCCACACTTACATTTAAGAATATCAGTAAGAATTTGAGGCGGTCCAGTTTTCTGGCAGCTGAAGTGTACTGCTACTTGTTTTGCCTTTAGGCTAACTTAACAGCTCTGCAGTAATTTGGAGCACTCCAGGGCTTTGCGAGGCTCGTTAATGAAAAAGGGAGATTGCCTGTTTAATCAAAACCAAATTAAAAGTCCAGAGAAGCATTAGAGATTGGGTTCACATGTCTTCCCAGCACGAGGATATTTTCCATTTGTTGACGAAATTACCAATTGTCATAGTGAGCGATGGAGAGCCCTTCCCTGCATTTTGAACAGAACGTTTTTGTTTCATAGAACATTTTTTGCCCCCAGGCGTCAGAGTATTGTAATGTTTCTTTGAACATTCTGTGAAAAATCGGGAAAAAAAGGCTCCTCGGGATAATGAAGTGAAAAAAGCTTGCGAAACTGCTTTGAGAATATAGCTTCTGCGTTTTCGTAACTGTGCCCCCGAGAAAAGACATGAAATTTGCTCTCTCTTTCTTTTGCAGAAGAGTGTCTCTGCAGTGGCAGGCCGTGGGGAACCCTCGATGCAGAGGGGTTTGGAGGCGCGTTCGCCGTCGAGATTCCTGCTCTTGTCCCACTATACATAGCTTTCTGTTCATCTAACATACACATACGGACATTCAATACCATGTTCTGCTTTATGCTGGAGCTTGTGATCATCCAGGTAAAGTTCATATATGAATGTGTCTCAGGAGTTTGTCTACCCTGTTTGTTGAGCATACAGCACATACAGATATACCCTTATGAAAAAGGGTTGTAATACTAAAGGAATTTCTGTTGGACTAGTATAGGAATCATGACAATTGGGCCAAGTATTATATTTTACTACAGGGTACTACACAAGTGTTATAGTTAACTATAAGACAGCAGTACAGGAATATATTATACAGAGTTTAAGTATCAGACATTATTATGGAAGTGTTATACAGCACAACTTGAAATCATATATTTTCCTGACGTATGACTGTAGCTGTTTATAAAGGTAGGAATAAACAATCAACAAGGAATTTGTTCATTTGAATCATTTATTCGATGTCCAGCCAGCCAAAGGGGGAAATGTTTTCTTTTTTTACCGAAAAGAAATAGAAAGATCAGAGGACATTTTGACACATTTCAGTTCCTTTTTTCTTTACAAGACAACGTATTGTCACATACAGAACAAGATACGGCTCCAGAGGTACGACATGCTTCGAACAACGTAACGCACATACAGAAACGACGGCATAGAAAGTCAACAGGTAGAAAGTTTACAAAACACACAGCCTTTAGACCTACAAACAACATCGTAGAAGAGTTTTGGAGGAGGGGAGGGGGTGTAAACAATTCTCTCTTTTTTGTTTTAGTAAGTTCCCTGGAAATTAAATGGATGCTTATTTTTTTCTCCTTCACAATTGTCAAATGCTTGTTCAAATTTCCTATTTTACTAGTTTTATAAGAAAGAAGGAAACCGAGTGGTCAGTTGATTGTGCTTTCTGGTTGCAACGTAACACATACAAACGCACAACGTCTATCTTCATGAGCCGTCTCATTAAATAACATAATAAAAGTCTCTTTACTTCTAAAGCTTTCCATTTTCTAATTATTGTGAATTGAAAACAGTGGGTAAAATGATTAGAAGAAAATAAAACTAATTTTCCTGAAAGAAAAACAGAACTGGACATTGTGCCTGTTTGACAGTTGAAGCTTTGAGTTTATCACAGTTTGACACATTTTGCCATGAGGGGAAAAAACATTTTTGACCAGAGTTTAGGAAACTAGACCTGTTATTTCATTAGAAATGTTCACGTTACCTGCACCATGTGTGTCTATGTCAGAAACAAACACCCTAACTTGCCAATAACACAAAGACATTAGTCATACTCAAATGATTGATTGTCATCACTGTTTTGTTGACTGTTTTCTCAAACGTTTTGTCATTGACTACTTATCCAGGTATGAAAATGTTCTTAAATGAAAAGCAGCAGTAGAATAATCCCCTTAAGCCATGAAATCAACCGTCTCTTGATAAAACAGTTCACTATATGTCCAAAAGTATCCAGACATCCTTTCTCATTAGGGAATTTGGGCCCATATCCTAAATCTTTCTTGTATTTTTTCCCACTTAAGTCCACTTATGTTTCTGTAGATACCAGTTTTGTGACTGCCTTTAAGAGCTAATCAGGCAGTGTAGGTTTTGTGGCATTACAAAAAACAATTCAACAGACTTTAAGGACTTGAGATTGAATACAAGGCTTTAAAACCTATAAACTACATAAAACTCATATTTGATTTTCCATGATATGGGCCCTTTGAGGTGCACCCACCGCTGACAAAGCATTGCCAGCAGAATGGACGCACTTGAGCCTAAGGTCACCATGCCCAAAGCTAAGCATGAGTTAAAGGGGTATAAAGCCCCCAACACTGGGCTGTGGAGCAGTGAACTGTGTTCTCTGGAGTGATGGAGCTCCATGGAATGAGTTGGAGTGATGTTCATAATCCAGAACTAATCATCTAAAATGCACAGAACACAGACTAATGCTCTTGTGGCTGAATGTAGCAGTGTTCCAACATCTACTGTAAAGCCTTCCAGAAGAGTAGAAGCTGTTACTGCAGCAAAGGGGGACAAACACCCTATTGATATCTTTGTGGAAGAAACCTTGGATGAGCAGGTGTCTACAAACTTTTGGACACATAGTGAATTCTGGCTAATTCTCAGACCAAGAAATATTAACCGACAGCCTGTTCCCAATGAATCTGACCTGATCTGAGGCTGAATACCAATAACATGCCTTTACTTTTGACTGGTTTGGATGAATTTAGACTGTGAAAATGGACCCTCTTCAAGAATTGTTAATATTTTGAGTGGATTTCAGTGTATATAGAGCATCATATACAAGAAGGCAAATGCATACCTTCTTAAATTCAGAGTAATACCCACCTCCCCTGCCCTAAACCTATATTTAAGGCTAGTGGACAAGTCTTCACATACCAGTTGGCCTTCAAAGCCTTCTGTTGCGTTAAACAGCACTGCGTACTGAGAGGAAATGTCTCTCTCTCTTTCTTTCCCTATTACTCTACCTCTGTTTCTCTCCACATCTGCCAAATCTTGCCAGCATTGCTATTCAATTCACACTTTTGCTTTGCTAAATTGTTGAGACAGAGATGGTAGCATGCATGTAAACAACTTCCCAGAGATGCTAAACTCTCCTGTCCTTCCTCCTCCTCCCCCTCGTCCATGCTTGAGTTTGTAAGTCTTAGTTTCGGGTAATCCAACTGTCTGTCCTTATATTCGAAGTCTGGATATGCACATTGACGGGTTTGTGGTCGTCATGGAAACTGTTTGTAGCAATTACCAGAACATCTTATACATACCTGAGAATCCATGCTGCATGGGCATGTGCATTTGTGTGAGTGCTGGAAATGAGGGCATGGGGTCAAGATATTTTAAGAATTCATCTACCTCATTTAGTTATGATTATGCTGCATGTGCATCAGGAAGTCACCATATCTGTAATACTTAAAGGGAGTTTATATTAAGATTGTGTTCAAGATATTTTGAGGTAAATATTGTTATCTACAATATACTGTAAGATAGACCTCTGTGTAATAAAAAAACAAAACAACAACAACAAAAAAAAACAAAATTAGATATAGATAATTCTCCACTAAAAAAGACAATCTCTCTCTCCTTCTCTCTGTCTTTCAATAAATTTAAACTACTGTGCAAAAGTCATAGACCAACCTTTTTTTTATTTAATTTCCAGTTAAAATAGTAATTAAATTTTTAGAGTCAGGAAAAAAGTAGAAAACATATATTTAACAGAAAATGACACAGAGGCTTCCAACACTAAGTACAATATTAGATAGGGCACCCAAATTTCCAACTTCTAAGACTGAACTTTGAAGGTGTGGACACATCTAATACTGAAAACATTGGGCCTCACACACCAAGTTTACGTAAGTTTATTTGTTCTTGAGAAAGGTCCTAAGAAAAAGTCTATGTCAGATTCCTGACGTGTTCTTAAACTGCAGAATTGTTCGCACCTTGGTGCTCTTGAGTGTGTGTAGATTCTGTTCTTATCTAAGAACAAATCACAAATAAGAAAACATTGGCGAATGTCAGAATCTTTGTGAAAACTGCGCAAGTGGGTTTTAAGAAGAATGAAAAAGGGAATGAGGCCCATTGATATTATATTTAGTTGTTGAGGTGTCTGTTTGCGTTTGTCTACTAAAAATGTACTTAATGTCCGTTTTGACTGAATATTAAGTAAATGAAAGGGTAATCTCTGACTTTTGCCCTTTTCTGTATGTACATGTACATGTCTCATAGTCATATATCTCTGAGTTTGTAAGAAGAACAGAATAGCATCATTTCACATAAATACATCATTTCATAAGGGAAAGGAGAAATCAAATGTAATGTGCTGATTTGACCAGAAATCCTGTATTCCCTCTGTAAGCTGTTTATTATAGCATTACTGTGATTTACTCTGGCATTAACTACATTCCCTACAAATTCAAGTAACACTGACACAGATTGGACATGATATTTTTGGCCACCATCATTGCCCTCTTAGCTGGTCCTGTCCATGGTAAATAAAATGAGAAGACATGAATGAAAATATGAAAAATATTATTTAAATCAGTTTGCATTTCCTCTGTGTAAATGTCATTGACATTCATACACCTAGGTGGTAGAAACACAATAGACTGGTGCAACAGATTTCTAGAGGTTATGTTCATGTCTATATAAAAATAAATCAGTCATACTATAAGTGTATACATTTAAGTCTGTGTTGTGTGCAGGAATGTCAGTGATCATATACACACATTTTGATAAAGCCACCTCTCTTAACAGTACACAGACTCACATACTTGCACTCACACTTTTTAGACATCCGTACTTGCAATTAAGTAAGGCCAGTTTCTTAAGGGACGGGGGAAGGGTGCACTAGTAAACAGGCTATAACATTAACTTGGTCTCTAAAGCCTAATATTGAAAGTGGGCTCTGGACAATGGCTAGCTGAGATGGGCAGTGGATGACTGTCCCTTTTATTTACTTTACAGACCTGTCCTTTTATTTCTGTGTTGAGTTTTCCATTCCAACCTGATTAAGCGTTGGACACCACTGGTTCTTTCAGATTCTGGCAACCGTCAGATCTGCCTCATTTCACCTGTGGCATGCCGGACAGCTAACTGCTGGACAGCTAATACCAACACAGCCTTGCTCGCAAAGGGGACGAGACAGGAAGAGTGATGAACTGATCTTCTGAGTTTTGTTTTCTTCATCATGGTAAAATGACCACTGTTTTCCAGAGAGGAAGAGACCCTGCAGGACCTTGCAGGATGCCTCCTGAGTTGGCTGCCTGGGCTGAGTCAAATGTCTCTAAAGTGACGCTGCACGGGGCCTGTGCTATCTCCGGTGCCTGTGCCTCACTCCCTGCTCTGACTCTCACTATAGTGACTCCCACTACAGCACTCTCCAGAGCTTCATAGGCTTTCATCGAAGGTGTGGGAACGACCTTTATCCCCTTTAGACCTACGTGAGGCATCCAGCATCACGTGGTTATCATGGCTTCCACTTGGTGTGCTTCCCAATGGGAACAGGCAGTTCTGGCCTAAGAGCCTCTGTGCAGCCTCCAGGTGGTTGGTGCCCCCCTGGTGGCCAATACTGAGCCGAGACTTGGTGCCCAGACCTCCCAGTAGGCGGTCTGATGGACAGCCTTCACGTAGATGCTCTTCATCATCTGTATCAGCATCAATGTACCTGCTGATAGAGGCATCGTGGAACGTGAAGACGGTAGGTGTGAGCGCAACACCTTCGGGTGTCTTAGGTGGAGTCCTGCTGCTGGCTGTAGTATAGATAGATACCTCGGGACTGAGAAGGGAACGATCTGAGAGAGCAGAGCTGTCTGATAGAGGGCCACCAGCTGGACTGGTCTCCCCACAACCACGATGATTCACTTTAAGGGAGTGTGTTTTTAGAGGGTTTACACCATGTCGGTGGGAATCCTCTGTGTCGTGAGGCTTCGCAGCAGAGCATGGTGGGGTAAGCATTGGCTCGTGCTCCATGGTGGTTTGAAGGCTGGGGTTGGCACTGACCCGTCCTGAAAACCCAGAGCCAGGACTGTGTGAGAAACGAGAGCTCTCCAGAAGGGACAAGCCCCCTGCTGAACTGTAGGGGAACCGTGGGTTCTCTTGGAAGTCTGTGGCACAGCTGATGTAACTGTCAATGCTGGACAAACTTTTCATGTCCACCACTCCTTCACGACCGCCCAGTGGGTCAGCTCCTTGGCCCGACAAAGTGCCCAGCTCAATCTCGTCTCTTCTGCACCCTGCTCGGGATGCACTTCTGTCTTTGGTGTTGAGGTTGGGCTGAGACTGGGTCTTGGTCATCTGCTTGTACATTTCCTCCAGTTTCTGTGCATTGAGCCTCTGTGGGCTGGAGGCCCTGGCCTTACCTGGGGAGCCCTGCTCTGGATTAAATGAACGATTGGAGCTGGTGTCAGACGCAGCTCTCTTGGATGACCACTTCCAGCGACTAGGTGAGAGATGGTTGTCCTGAGACTTCTCACCCTTCTCCATCACCACCACATCAAGAAGCTCTGCACCACGGGAAAACGCATCTCTGACATTCATGGATACTATGCTGCCATTGCGCTTCGCTCGTTCCAGAGCTTCACGCCTCTTGATGGCTTTTTCTTGTCTCTTCTGCTCCTTGTAGAACTCAGAGAAGTTGTTTACAATGATAGGAATGGGTAGGGCAATTACCAGCACTCCTGCAATGCAGCAGAGACCGCCAACAATCTTTCCTAACAATGTCTTTGGGTAAATGTCCCCATATCCCACAGTGGTCATGGTGATAGTAGCCCACCAAAAGGAGGCTGGGATGCTCTTGAACTTTGTGTCCTCTTCATCCTTCTCTGCAAAAAAGACCAAACTAGAGAAGATCATGATACCCATGGCTAAGAAGAGGATTAGAAGGCCCAGTTCATTGTAACTGCGGCGTAATGTGAAGCCCAATGACTGCAGTCCTGTGGAGTGACGAGCTAATTTAAGAATTCGCAAAATTCGCATTATCCGAAAGATCTGCACCACTCGCCGTACGTTTTGAAACTGCAGCACACTCTTGTTGGACTCAGTTAGGAAAATGGTGACATAGTATGGAAGGATGGCTAGCAGATCGATGATGTTGAGTGGACCTTTGAAGAATTTCCATTTATTGGGTGCAGAGAGGAAGCGAAGGAGATACTCCATGGTGAACCAGGCAATGCACACTGCCTCAACATGCGCCAGTTGGGGGTTATCCGTGCTCTGGCCAAACTCATCAGTATCTTGCAGTTCTGGGAGGGTGTTGAGTGACAGGGCAATGGTGGACAGCACAATGAACAATATAGAGACGATGGCCAATATCTGTAGATTGGAAACAGAAAACAGAATTAGTTTAAAGAAAACACTTAGGTCACTCATCAACTCCTAAAGATAACTGAATGTTATCAGTGAGGATGGTTTTTGTTTGAATGGCATATTTTGCATTACTGCATCATTTGCATTTGTTTACCAACAAATCAAAATTAAAGTAAGCGACTCGTCACTCATTTTGTCATGCAGCCTGTCAGCATCAGCATGGCTAGCATAGGGTGTGCTCTAAAAGAGTGGCTGGGGGGCAGAAACTCAGTCATGATTTACTTATCCTGTCAAAAAAGCCTATGTTTGTCTAAGCAACCATCAGTCAAACAGCAAATACTTACTCTGAGGCAACTGAAACTGACATTTAGTGAAAACAGAAGGGTCAGTCAGAAAAAAACACCTTCAGGAACAAGAATTTAGACCAAGCACTTTGAAATCCTTAAACGTGACTAAATATCACTGTACATGAATATTGCATACATGTGAAAACAATCATGTTTGGAGTAAATCTGGTTTGGACTGATTAGTCATTAAGTTTTTTTTTTTACCAACAGTCTGATATGGATTATATTTTGGTAATACTATTAACCAACCTCTGCATTTAAGCACAGACCAATGTGCTGACCGTAAATCAGTGCTATTGTTCTGAGATACACATAATTTGTTAGCGACAGCTATGATATGATATCCTCTTCTGATATAAGGTGATGTGAAGGTAGAGTGCCCCAGGTGGCAAAGGCTGCCTAGAGGACCCCTGGCCTGGTCACGGCACTGCTCTCTTGTCCTTAATGCTGCCTGTACACCAATTGCTCATAGTGTAGCGCCTGTCCTCATTAGCTCTAATCCAGCCTGACTACTACCAGGAGGGAGATGGAGACAGAAGGGTAGAGAAGCATGTTTGTGAGTAAGTGAGGTGCAAACAAGTGACTGAATTAGTTAATAAGTTTGCTTTCTAGCATTTGACTGAGTTGCTATGCAGAAAGATTCTAAAAATAAAGATACCAAAAATAATTCTTTAGAGCACTGACACAGACTATCCACTTTTGGTTCCCCAAAGAACCTTTCAATGGGTGGTCCTTTAAAGCAAGGGTTCCTAGTCCCAGTCTTGGTGTTGCCACACTACTCACATTTTTGTGCTTTCTCTCATCTAGCACACCTGATTTTACTCATTAGCTAATTAACAACCTCCTTGTGTACTGAGTTGAGTGTGTTAGAGTCAGGAAAATATAAAACGTGCAGAGCATGGGGTCCCCAGGACTAGGACTGAAGTGGGTTGAGCCCATAATGAAGTGGGTTCATTCAACTTAACAAATGCTGCCCAACAAGACAGGCAATTTTGTGCTTTCGAGTTCATTTTCCTTCTCTTTGTAATTCAACCATCACCAAAAACATTGTGAATTTCAGTATTCTTGTCATGTATTTGAGGATTAATTAATTGGGTCAAATCATGCTCCATTTTAGCTGTTAGAGCTGTCTTCAAGTTGAGGTGCCAGAATGTAACTGCTGCACTATTTAAGGTGGAACAGGATAATTCGAACATGAAGCTGGTGAATAGGAAGCCGACGTCAGCCTTGTCCGTTTTCTATTCTATTGTACTTGGTTTTGTTGTCATATTACTGAGGACTACTATTACTGAGGAGCTCTGAGTTTGGTGAATTATAGAAGGTAATTCACTCTGGAATTATTACTTAGCAGACTTGTAAAAACTATGGACATGGCAGATTTGTACTGAATTCAAATCATGGAGGTTGTTGGTAATCACTCAATTACAGCATGTCCCCAGGTAATACTAATCCACTGTTGAGCTGCCAGTGAGCAATTAGAGCTGAAAAGGGAGGGGTGAAAACCCCCTCTGTGAAAACTGTTCACACCTCTCCACAAAGACAATGCTGAGATAAAACAGACAGCGCACCTGCAACTTCTTTAATATAAAAAATCATGTGCAACTGCCCCAGTAGAAAACAGCATTTATACACAATACAAACATTTATAAATGTATATTCCACCAACATTATTTACGAAAAGAACATTGCATAGTTCAACTGAGGGACCTCCAAAACAAGTACTGAGAAAAGAGGTTAAAGTTAGAACATATTGGTGAGGGACTGGATGAAGAGGGAATAGCACTAAGAGTGACTTAAAGAGGCCATGTGTAATTAGAGCAACAGAACCCCTCGAGTTACAGCACCTAACATCATTACTAATAAAGCACTGTACTAGCAAACCACTCCCTGCAGTATCCACGCACACATGTACTCGGTTATGTGTGACCGCAGCCAAATGTTCTCCCTGACACGCTGAGAAGGAGAGGGCTCAGCCCAGATGCCTTTCACCCACCAGCCTGTAGCCACCTCCAATCAGAGAAGGAGCACGCTGTTGCCATGACGCCACGGCAGATGTGAATTACGACCCTATCTGTTTATCTCTCTTTCTTTCACTCCCTATCTCCTTCTTTGTGTCAGTTTTTTTTCTTATTCTCTTTTGTTTCTTTCTCTTCCTTCTCGTTTCATGTAATCTATTTTACTCTTTTACTTTAATCTTTCTTCTTTCTTTCTCTTAATAAGAATGATCAAATTATTTGCGGCAGGCTGGGAATTATAGACAGACTTTTCCGACTAAAGTCATTCAAAGAAAAGTTATATGGGATCGCTTTATGCTTTCGCTAACATCCTATAAAGCTTTAAATTAATCGCTTACAGAGCAGCAATTTGACCCACAATCTCCGTAACTCAAATGTGAACTCTTTTAGCCACCAAAGGGGCATAATGTGGCTATGGATAATGGTATTATAATGAATTCTGTTGACAATAGAGAATACTATCGCTAATCACACACATTGCTTAGCACCATTGTTGGGATGTTCTGGTCATTATGTGACTAATGAAGAAAAGCACGACCAGAGGGAGACAGGACCCCTGAGCCTGAGGACAAGAAGATAAAACACTGTCTAAAAATAGAGCAGCTAGAGCAAAGACGACATGTCATAATGTATGCAGTGACTTTAGATTCAGTGAATAATTTTAACACTGTATCATCATATAGTCAAAATTTAGTTGTATGCAATTTGTGTTTGAATCCTGCACCAATTACATGCTTTCTTGATTTTCTAATTAAAATAAGTTAATATATCTACAGTTTTAGAGCACATTTTCTATTTATTTGCTTAATTTAACATATGGGAAAAAATATAAAATATTAAATGTGCCATAACTTTTGCACAGGCTATATTTTATGTTTTATCTTCCAGACTTTTGCATATGACTGCACATTTCCCACATTAAGAGTACATCTTCTACTATATATATATATTCCAATGGCATTCTCTTTTTGCATATCGTGCACACACGTAGTGCATTATTAAAGCATGAGTGATATCATAATGTATTTTTGCTGCATTACCGTCGCCTCAATGCAGCCATCATCTAGGTCACTGTGGTTAAGGCTGAGATGAAGTTTATAGTTATGGTCTGGGATAAATTAGGGTTAGGAGTAGAATCACAGTAATATTTTCAGGCACAACAGTTTCTGAATATCTGGGGGCAATCCTACTTTGGGGGCCCCCAATCAACCCAGTCATATTATTATTATTATTAATCTCTCTTTATGCCTTAGCGGCTGTTTAAAAGTGCTGTTTATGTCACTGTGCCTTTAAGAGTGATTTAGAGATAAATGAGCTCTGTTCTGATTGGCCTGTCTTGTACTGTGCCTAATCCAAAAAGCACTCAGAGCTGAAACACTGCTTAGAACTTCAGCATAAATGGGTGGAGCTAAACTGCTGCAGGCGAAAATGAGTAAATGAGTTGGCTCTTGTGCCATCACAGAAACAATGATTAAAAAACTGTTTTGGACTGTTTTTGAAGTTTAGCTTTCATATATGAACGGTATGGACTAAGTAGTGAATGGCACGTTTTGAAACTATGTTTGCATATTACTTTAAATATATTTATTTTAAAAAAGAGAGGGAAATTTCGTTTTCCATGATACGGACCCTTCGATACATCATTAATTTTAATCAGATAAAAAGTTTAATGCATGCTGTGGTAAACACAAACACAATAAAGTAAATAATAAATGAAATGAAATCAATACAACTAAAATTAATTGCAGGGTATGTTTAAATGCCCAGGGTGTTTCAGGCCTTCCGCTCCATGAGTGCTGGGATAGGCTCCAGCACCAGCCCCCCCCAAACACTAGAAGAATAAGCAGCTCAGATGATGAGTAAAAGAGATAAGTAAGCATGTTTAAATGGCATGTGATTAATTTCTGCTTGTTTTGGAAGCAAAGTTGTCAAGCAATATTTATTCTGCTAATATCATAATTAACACAAATATGAAGAAAAATAAACTGCAAATTCATGAGGCCCCTTATGGCTCAGGGGTCCTTAACTGCTTAAATCTATTAACAGCCTTGTCTTGCTGTTTGTCTTTGGGTTAGAGTCAAGTCAAGAATCAAGTGCCGGTTCAGCTTTTACAGTTAGAAATAAGTGAGTATAATTTATGTCTAATTTTAGGACACCACATACTTGAGCGAATGTGCATGTGGCAAAGGTGGTTAATGAAACAGAAAGTGGATTAATTGATTAATCAGTTAAGCCCCTCCAATGAAAAACCAAATATTAACCATTTCACCATTTTTCTGGATTAACAGTTATTTTGTTATCTATTTTATTTTGTACAACCTTGTCCATTAAAAAGCCAAACTATGCTTTATTTACGTTTTAGGGACCCCTTTATTTTAAATACAGGGCATCAACCAAAGTGCTCACACAATCTCCGCCTGAAGATGAATAACTGGGCAGGAAACAGTTCTCAGTGGAGACAAGTTCTCTCTGCTGGCCCTCCGAAATTTTATACCTAAAAATATGGTCCAAAATCTAAAACTGTGTCATACTTCAGTCCCAGTGGCCCAACACACTTCAGACTTTCCCTTACTTCCTCTTTAAACACACCTGATTCAACTTATCAAGTAACCAGCAAAGTCTTCAAACAAGAACACAGTTTAAC